AGAAAGAAAGAGAGAAAGAGAGAGAAAGTCTGTTTATATTTCCTCTCATGCCACCCAGATTCCTGATGGCCGTGGAGGGCTCGTGGCCGAGTCAAGCACCGGCACGGAGCTCCGCTCTGTAAATATTTTAGGAAGCATCTTTTGAGGCTCATAAATCTTAGCGTGCGCTTGGTGTGGGGGGGAGGCGAGTGCTCCGTGCGGCTGCGAGCCCGCTGCCAGCCTGCTCGGAAAAGAAAAAAGGGATAAACTGAAATTTTCACGACCAAATTGGACAAGGCCACTTGGAAAATCTGACTCGTGCAAGAGCCTTCAAAAAAATAAAATAAAGAGAGGAGGAAAACAAGGTTGGGGTAGCAGCTGGGGATGCTGAACCTGGGATGGGTGGTGGGACTGGCTTCCTGGGATGTCCCTAAAGCTGGATGGTCCCGGTTGTCCCTTGGACCGCAGGGGAAAGAAACCCATCGTGGTGCTGGGAGGAGCCTGGGTCCCTTTCTCTCCTCGAACTTTCTTGTTTCCAGAGCAAAACTTGGATTGCTTTGGTTCCTTGCACTGCCCTCCCTGGGCACATTCCCATCACGAGTTCACATTCATCTCACACTTCCCCAAATCCTCTGTAGCTTTGCWCAACAGCTTTACTCCAAATCCTACTTATTTCTGTCCCACTATCTCTGGCCTGGATGGTGCCACCCTAATTTGAAGCTTGGGAAGAACATCGGCTGCATTGCTCCGCTTCCCATCTATGGACGCCAAGCTCTGCTGAGTGTCTCCACTGAGTCCACACCGGAGCCGTGCAGAGCCTGAAAAGATGCTGCACTTCCCAGCAGCAGGACCCTTAAAAGTCAGTTTACAACCCATTTGGCATCCCAAAAATCCCTTGGGAAGAGCCTGCTGGACTGTTTCTTTCTATTCTCAACCTAATTTCAACCTGCTCTGCTGTTCTGTCTTCTCCCATAAGCAGCTGCTTGGAAAACAGGCCAGAAAGAGAGAYCTGTTTTTACAGAACGAAAGGCTAAATTGCAAGCCGTGCTTCGGAGAAGGGCAACCGCCTGGCCAAGGTGCTTTAGGATCATCTGCTCGGCTTCAGAAAGCAGGTGATGGAGCAGAGGGCTAAGGAAGAGCTCTCGTGCAAGCCTGGGAAAGCTGCTGTCCTCCTCCAGGGAGCACCCAACACGCTTCACGCTTCTGATATTTGAGATGGTCGGGGTTAGAATAAAAAGAAACTTGGGGTTCAGCGGCAAGAGGGTGTCAGCATCGCCCCTGCCCTGCTTGGGGACTGCACTCCCACCGCTCGGGCTCTGAGTCCCAACACAGATGGCACCTGCCAGGTCTGCCAGGTCCCCATATACTCTGCAACCTCCAGCATGCGAAGAAAAGGCTGCCCCTCCAACCCGCCTTGCAAATCCCAAGCAATGTCAAACCAAGTTAAAATCCAACTAATAGGCTGCATTGCCTCAAAGAAAGAATAGCTGGTGGTGAAAATATGGCAAAGAAACAGCTAAGATCCAGCCAAGGGCATTTTAGGGAGGACTCTGCTGGAGAGTGGCCCACCTGTCTGCTAGGGAGGAGGAAAATAAGACCAAAAAAAATTGAGAATTAAAGTAGCTGAGCTATTCCCATTAATATTTCCTCTCGGGCAGCTTTCCCACCAGTTTGGAGATGTGGAGGGGTTTTTGTGGGTTTTCTGGCATAGCAGGAGGAGCACTACTGGCTCTAGGAAGGCTGGAAAAGAGGAAAGCGAGTTCATGCACTGCGGGCTGGAGCCAGCCCTTTGCAAGTGTTTGTAATAGATAGAATTGATAGATGGCCATCGGGGGTAGGAAAAAGACTTTTCTGGGCTAAATTTTGCCAGAAATTTTGTGTCAGATACGCATCCATGGGGGAAGATGGAGCTGGGAGGCCTGCCGCTCCCTTGGGTGCTCATGGACAGTTAGAGTCCCACTGTGGGGCCACTAGCTCCATTTTGCAGGAATGCTCCTCAATTCCGCTCTGGAGAAAACCCTCCCTCACCCTGGGGCTTTGCTGTGGCATTTCTGTACAGGGGGGAGCTTTTCAAGTTTGCAAAAACATGTCTTTCCACTTAAAAAAAATAAATAAATAAAGCACGGCTGCCTTTCGAACAGCCTCGTCCGCGTGCCTCGACCGTGCCGCTTTCCGTGCTTTGGGCTGACCTCAAATGCAAATTTCCAAATTCAATTTCTCCGTGTTTCCGCAGCGAACTCCTGGCATTCGTTTCAAACACAGCCCCCCACTCTTCTCCGCTGCGACGCAGACCTCCGGCGCTGCCAGTGCCTCCAGGGTCAGCGCAGGGCGGGCAGCCAGAGAGCCGTCTGCAGCCTCCCTGCCTCCCCCCTGCCTTGCACTGAGACTTKCTTGGCCATTTTTTTTGCAACTCAAGGGTTTCCTAAACCAGCAGAAAACTGAGGTTGGGGTGGGGAGATTTGAGGGAGAATTTGAGATCTTCCTCGCGTCAGGATTTTTTTTGCTCGAGTTTTTGCAATTTTTTTGCATTGGGGCTGTGCAAAGCTTTGGTGCAGAGCYGCATCACGGGACAAGTGTCCCCGCTGCCCTGTCTGTCTGGCAAGCTGGTCCATGTCTCTTTGTCACTGGCGGAGAAGCTGTGGGACATCAGCCCCTCGTGGCTGTGGATGGAGCTAATTAAGCCTTTCTAATTCCATTGCAGCACGGTGATTTGTCTCTCCAYTTACTATTTTGGGTGATGCCATTCCTTTGGGAATTGCAGCATGCCAGAGGCACACTTCCCTGCAGAGGCTGTGCTTGCTCTGGGGAATATCCCGCCTGCCCCGTGGCGGGTGCCACCGTTTTCGGCCAGTTTTCCTGGCTGTGGATGCTAGGGATGGGGACCTGTCCTCATCCATCCCTGCTAAGGATGGGGACCTGTCCTCATCCATCCCTGCTAGAGATGAGGACCTGGAGGTTTTCAGAGCTGCCTTGGTCTTTCCAGTCCAGCCAGCGGCCACTGTGCTGTAGCACCTGGGCATCCGGACACTTGGCCTGGGAAACAGTGGAAATGGGGCATGCGAGAGCAAAATAAGAAAGGAAAAAAAAATCAATCGATGAAGATGGGAAAGTGTCAGGCCACAGGCCAAAGGGAGGAGAAGGTAAAGGGCACCAAGGGCCCAGGGCACAGCTGCAGTCCTGGGGATGGGCATGGGGAGCACCATGAGAGCAGGTCTTGGTGGAGATGCGAAGCTCGTGTTCCTGAGCCTTTGCTTCCCAAGTGAGCACACAGCTTGGTCAAAGGAAAGAGATGCAAGGCAGGAACCGAACCATCTGTTTATTAGGCTATCTAATGCTCAAGGAAACCACCAAAAAATAACATTGCCAAAAGCAAATGGAAAGAAAATGAAACACAGCAAAGGCAGCATCTCACCGCAAACCAGAGCCCAGGACCAGCCCCGGCCTTGGCAGAGTTGGCGACACGAACCCAACGGGGCAGGCTACACGAACCATGTGGACAGGTCAGCCACCACCTGGTACCTGGCCTCCGACTGCAGGAAATGACAGGCCCGGCAGAGGTGGATGGCCCACCCGGACGTGACCACAGGCTTCAGCCRTTGCCGCCACTCAAAGTAGCGCTTGTATCTCTCCGAGTCCTCGCTCAGCTCCTGCAGGTACCGTGCCAGGTCCCGGGCACTGGCAAAGTCGTCAACGTGGATGAAGGC